CATATAAATATATAAAATAAATGTACAATTAATTTTGTGGAAAATAAATGTGTAATTGATTTTGTGGAAAATAAATGTACAATTAATTTTGTGGAAAATAAATGTGTAATTGATTTTGTGCTTATAATAATTAATATATGTATATGAATGTGTATAATTTTTAAAATTTTGAAAAGTATAGGGTTTTTTTGATAAAAAAAAGTATAGGGTTTAAATTGTGATGAAAAAAAAGTAAAGGATTTTGTTTTGGATTATCCTTTAGGTATATGTTAAAATTTGAAAAGTTTAGTTTTTATTTGTGAATTTCAATATAGTTGAGTATTTAATTTGGGAGTGGGATAGTTAAGTATTTAATTTGGAAATTTGGTTAAAGTTCAATATTTAATATGTGAATCTCCCTAAACAAAATACTTGAAATTTAATATTATGGGATCGAGACATCGCTACTTTTTTAATTAGGATATGTTCTTTTTTATTATATCTGTCAATATTAAATGAGTATTATTGTGTGAGTTGATTTGAAGATGGAATTAAAATCATATATTTTATACGTGTAATCCCAACCTAGGATATATAGATGATACACATAAGGTTATATATATAGCTAAATACAAAAACAAAAGTGCATATTCAAACAATGAATTCCATCCATATAATATGATATTAATGTATGATATACAAAAAACATTTAAATTTATAAATCTAACTCAAACAAATTATTAGTATATCATTTCTTTACCAAAATTATATAAACAAATTTAGTGTATATAAAAATAATAACACGCGCATCGTACGGGTCTTTCCTAGTTATACTAAAAAGGCATGTTTTATATAAACTTGAATTCAACTGAAACTTACAAATAATGTTTGCAAATAAGAAACTTGATTGAATTGTTATGTGAATATGATAATTAAAATTCGAAACTAATATTTTGGAACTATTTTAGAATGCATTTATTTAGATCTAGAGAGTGGTCAAAGTCTCTTGTGTTAGCTAATGCATGGCTGTATATGTTCGAACACCTTTTCTTTTATTTATTTATTTATTCAGTTTTTCTTCTTCTTAGTCAACTTGATTAGCCAAATGAAATTGAAATCCGTCACATGCGATAACAATATTTTCTCTAATGCACCAAGTGAAAATTCATACTATACATATATTATAATATCACATTAATTTAATTTGCATGGGTAATGACAAAAGATTTACCATAATTCAAAGATCAAATCAAAATCAACAATCTTGTCACTTTTAAACCCAAAAATCAACTTTTATTATTTTTCACAATAATTTATACATGAATTTTCAATTTATAAAAAAATTATACTTTAACTTAAAATTGGGAAGATGCCAAGTGAGTTGGTTTAGTACTAACTTCTTTAATTTTAAGATTAGGGTTCGAATCCTTTTAGCCTATTGATTTATAAGTATATCAGTTATTAGCAATCTAAACTAATTTATATCTCTCGTATCGTTTGAAAGTTATTAATCGAGAATAAAGATTTGCTCAGTACGCATGAGAAAGATTGTAACTGCGAATTCTCATATAGTAAAAGGAATTTAAAATTGTTAATTTTTTTTGTGTTAATAATATAATATGAAACATCAATGTGAAGATAGATAAATCGTAAAATTATAAATTTGACTCTCATCTAGAGCCGTTTCAAATTTTTTAGAGCTCTATACATTAAACAAAATTATATTAATATAAATTATAAATTTATATAATAAAAAAATAATATTATTAAAAATATTTAATAAAATACATAAATTTATATAACAAAAATTAATAATAAAATTATTTAATGATAATATTAACTTTGAATTAATATAAATTTTGCATTATAACGTGTGGCATTATAGTTATTTATTAAATAATATAATGTATAATAATTATATCTAAAAAGCTGATTAGAGTAATAATTTTTTTTAAAATAAATATTAAATTGAAAGGATATTTTCTTCAAATGTAGATTTATTTTATTGTATTATAATAATATATAATTAATAGTAATAATTATTTTTAAAAAGTGGGGTCCCAAAATTCATGAGCCCTGTTTCATCGCACAATCCTACTCTCATCTCATTAGTTTATAAACAAAATTAAATGGAAGTATAATTAACCAAAAAGGTAAAAAAAAATTACAGACTTGGAATCTTTAAGGGTAATCTATTGGTAACAGAAAAATAAACGTGACTTTGCAAAGCCCGAATTATAATGTAGGACATAACAATATTTATTTAAATATGTAATTTTTATTTTATAGAAAATTAGAAATAGTTTTGTCTGCAGATTCCTTTTTCTTGTTCCTCTGAGAAGATGCACTTTTTTAAATAATCTCCTCTCTCCCTCCTTTCTGCAGACACAGAAAAAAGGCAACGCCAAAAAAGAAGCAGCCAAATTGTTAAATTTACAAAAGTCAATCTCCTGAAACTACCCAAATCTCTCTCTCTCTCTCTCTCTCTCTCTCTCTCTCTCTCTCTCTCTCTCGGCTGCTTCGAACCAAGAGGTCTGAAGAGACGGCGAAAGAGAGAGTGAGCAGATGAGGAACTTTCATCTTCATCTTCTTCTTCTTCTTCTTCTTCTTCTTCTCAGTGTTTCGGCTTCTCCTACGCTTCATGCGCCTGCTTCACAACCTTCTCTCTCTCCAGTTTACACTTCCATGGCGTCTTCTTTCTCTCCTGGTAACTCCCTCTACTCTCTCCTGTTTTCTGTCTCGATCTACTTTATGCATACGTGTTGTAGTGTATGTGTCAATATATGGATGTCCATGGAAACTGATTTTGATTTTTCTGTATGGTCAGATTCGATTCTGGATTGCACGATCACCTCTTTAATCTTGGTTCTTCTTTCCGATGGTTGTCTGAATTTTTTTTTTAAAACTTGAAATGCTCTGTGTCTGTCTGATTTATCTGTGTCTACCAAAGCTTGAGCTCCTGGTTTATGTCCGAACCTGGTCTCATCCCCCATTGAATCGAAAACCCACCTGCCTTTTGGCTTCTGGGGTTTTGTCGGTTGATCTGTGCTTCGAGTCAAGTTTCGGAATCAAGGAAATTATTATTTAATTTTGTATAATTTAATGCTAATTATGAGCTTCTCACTCCTTTAAGCTGTTTTTTTATATTTTACGTATCCTTTTATTGATTGGATTCCGAATCAGTTTACGATTTCGAGAGATGGGTTTGATTTCAAGAACTTCAATGGGAATGATTCAGAAATTTTCTGGGTTTTCCATTCGATGGTATCAGGACAAGAAGTGGGCAGGGGACATGGACACAAGTTAGATGCGCACAAGAGGCTTCTGATTGGTCTGATAATCAGTTCCTCGTCACTCGCTGTCGTTGTATTGTGGTGTTTGTGTTTCTGGATTTACCGGTGGAAGCAATCTCTCAAAACCACCAAGAACAATGTCAAGAACTCAGGTGATGATTAGATTTCATCTTTCTGCAACCACTCTAGTTCATGGGATGTTATTGTCTTTGTTTCCGTTCTGATCTGTCGTGTTTTCAATTCAGACACAGAGAGTGGGATTTCACTGTCACCGTTTCTGTGGCGGCTAACCTCAGCAAGAACATCGGCAAGAACGTCTATCAAGAAGGGTTCTGTCCAGTTCTTTGATTACAAGACGCTGGACAAAGCCACGGGCAGTTTCAAGGACACGAATGTTTTAGGACAAGGGGGGTTTGGATGCGTTTACAAGGCTTGTCTGGACAATAACACTCTAGTAGCCATCAAGAAGATCGAAAACATTAGCCAAGAAGCCAAACGAGAGTTTCAGGTACTATTTTATATAGTAATACAAAACAAGTTCCATTTTCAGTGAAGCCCGATTTCTTTTCCGTTCTTGTTCTGACTCAGATTCCGATTCTTACAGAACGAAGTGGACTTGTTGGGAAAGATCCATCACCCAAACATTATCTCACTGTTGGGTTATGGAAGTGAAGCCAGCTCGAGCTTTATCGTCTATGAGCTGATGGAGAACGGATCTTTGGATTCACAGTTGCACGGTAAAAACACTCGTCCTCAGAGCTAAATCACCGTGATTTTTACTGATCTAACCTATCTTTTACTGGAAAGTATGAAGCAGTGAATGTTATTAAACATAACTCTGGTGTTACCTTCCTGTTATGTTCCTCGAAAACCCGAAATTATCAGATTCTCTTTAATAATGTCAGGTCTACATGTAATGCATTATGCATAGACATGAATGAGGCAGATCATGTGGCTACATGGATATGAATAATTGCCATCCCCTCATAATGATAACACCTTGATAATTTAATGTTTTAGGACCTTCTCGTGGATCCGCTTTAACATGGCACATGCGGATGAAGATTGCTCTAGACACAGCAAGGTAGTACCGGTTCTCATTTCGATTAATCCCCGGTTATTGTTTTGATAACCGTTAAACCGATTTCCCGTTTTCATTGAACCAGAGGGTTAGAGTATCTCCACGAGCGTTGCCGCCCTCCTGTTATCCACAGAGATCTGAAATCTTCTAATATTCTTCTCGATTCTTCCTTCCACGCCAAGGTAATTTACTAGAATCAATGTAAACCGAGCTGAACCGGGACTAGTACCAACCTAAACCAGAGCTCAAAACCCATTTAACCGAGTGGTTCAACTGGTTTGGGTCCGGTTTGCATAACTATTTCCATTCAACACATCTCCAGATATTGCAACTTTTTCTCCATACTACAAGATTATATGAAGGTTCTGCCAATGAAAAACTAATCTGGATGACAAGAATACCGATATTTTTGTCCTAACATCATATCGGTCTTTTTGTTTTGTATGTACAACTATCAATGTACAGATTTCAGATTTCGGACTCGCGGTAACCGTAGGGGTGCATGACAAGAACAACATTAAACTCTCGGGGACACTTGGTTATGTTGCTCCTGAATATCTCTTGGACGGTGATACTACTTACTAAGCACATAGATTTACCATTTGTGTTCGGTCCTAGACCGGGATTTTTCCGGTTTAATAACCGGTTACCGGTTACCGATTAGTTTGATTCATCGATACACTTAAACAAAGTTCATGATATGATCACTTGATTGTAGGAAAATTGACGGATAAGAGCGATGTTTACGCGTTCGGGGTGGTTCTTTTGGAACTCTTGTTGGGAAGGCGGCCTGTCGAGAAATTGTCATCTTCTCAGTGTCAATCTCTTGTCACTTGGGTATGTATCTACCTCGGTCCAACACATTCCATTTGGTTAACCGGATATTTCTTCAGTCGGTTTACTTGGTTTTTACTTTTAGTTAACATTGGTGCTGTAGAGGTGTCAATGAGGTCGGTCCGAGTCCTCACTTGGTCTGAGGGTTTCGGGCTCGCACTCAGACCGGTCCGATTTTTTCGACCCTAAATAATCAAGTACGAAGCCCGACCCTATAGGCTTCAGATTCGGGTCGAGTCGGATCGACTCGCTTAATTTCTTCTTTGTAAACTGATTTTTTTTTTTTAATTTTAAAAAAAATTGAACTTTCGGACTGTTTTGAATCCCGATTTAAGCCCAACCCAAAAATCCGATTTTTTTGGACCGATATATTTAGGTTCGAAACCCGATATTTTTCACATAGACTCGGGTTGGGTTTTGGGGTTCGGGACAAAATTGATACCCTAGTGCTCTCTCATGACATATTATCACAATCTTCTCTGATACTTGTAACTTGTACAACTTATTGACGTTGCAGGCAATGCCACAACTTACAGACAGGTCGAAGCTCCCAAATATTATAGATCCCGTCATAAAAGATACAATGGATCTTAAACATTTATACCAGGTTTGTTTCATTCATCATTTCGAGGCAAAAAACCGGTTCATAGATTCATCTGGTTCGACCAACATTGGCTATCACATATCGAAATCGGATAGATTGTGTTTTTATATCGAAACCATATGAACCGGTTGGTCGAATTTGTTTTCGTTTGATGGATTCGAGCTTATATCAATTTCGCGCAGGTCGCAGCCGTGGCAGTGCTTTGTGTGCAACCGGAACCGAGTTACCGACCATTGATAACCGATGTACTTCATTCGGTTATTCCACTCGTGCCGGTTGAGCTAGGAGGTACTCTCCGGGTAGCAACACGTCCAGCTTCTTAACACAGAGCCTTTTGCTTGCTTCCCTCAATTTGTATATGGGGTTTATCCGATCAATTCAAAGGTTTGGGGTGCAAATGTAAGAGTAAAAGTTTTCCGGGGTATGATTCTATTTGTATAAATTGTTTATATGAGTTTCCCCACGTTACATGTCAGTGACATTGATTATAGTAAAACAATAAAAAAGAATTGTACTTTTAAATTCAGATATATTTTGAATCTTTTATGGGTTGAGAAGTAAAACAATGTTTTTTTATTTTTTAAATCCTATGTGTGGCCTTGTAAACATTTAATTTTTCAGTCACATTATTAATTTAGATAAACGAGATAAGGTAAACAATAATTTTAATATGTGCAGTTTGCCTTTCCTTTTTCATTGGCATCTTTTTTTTGGGACCGTTTCGATCGATTCAGAAATGATTCGATTTGATAAAAAATATGTATTCATCATTCATTATATTCCTATTCGGTTTCAGTTTTTATTATTTTAAAAAAAAATCGATTTTCAAGATTTTTTTAAAATTCGATTTTATTGGCTTCGATTTCAAAAAATTTAGTTTTCTAAAAAAACATCTTTCAAAAATTTTGTAAAATTTATTTTGAAAAAAATATCGTATTTTTTTATTCGATACGATCTTGTTTCGATGAATCGTATATCCCTACTTCTCCCTTTCAAAGCCTTGGTCGGTAGATTCGATTCGAACAACAAAGAAATGACCATTTTACCCTTCAACCTCACGCGATATCCGCCTTCTGAAGGAGAAGCCCATTCCTCATACGTTTCGTCTCTCTGACACGCGCATGCGCGCACGCAGAGTGAGCTTAATCCCGCCTTCCACCTGACCAGATCGGAGGAATCTATTCCAAGTTCATCGAAATTCAGGTGATCGGATTATGGCAGTTGCGGCAAAGCCTTCTCGTTTCGATGCCATAACTTTGGGACACAAATGAGCTGAAGCTCATATATGTGCTTAAGAGCAGGTCCCCTGCGGTTAGCTGCAGCTCTTACAGAGCGACATTTTCCCAGGGCAGAAGTTCTTATATCACAACATCTTCAAGGATGCGCGAGTTCCATGGTCCGGATACAATTGTCTGTTTTCCTATAAAATGGTAAACTCAGCCATGGGTACAAACAAGGCTGCAGAAGGAGCAGGTAACCGAGTGAACTCAAATAAAATGCTACGTCATACGTTTTATTAAACTAGGCTCTCTATTACTTGTGCTGATAGTGGTTCCTCAATGCAAATTGCAAATAAAAATAAAAAAACACTCTCTGCTGTATTTTATATATATATATATAGATGCAAAAAAGTAATTGATAACATACCCATGATACTACAAATGTGGATAAAAGCGGAGAGAATCAGTTCCTACAAATGACTTTCTCATTTCCAACAAGTTCTTCTACTGAGCTACTTGGTTTGGTCTTATTGGAATTAGACCTTTTTTATCCGAACCGGTCAAACCGGTTGATCTTCATCATATGCCTACCATCATTTCTATCAACTAAACCAAATCTTACACAAGATCCAAAGTCGTGTTACCATTTCTAATCCACAAAACTAACTGTTATATAAACAATGATAACTAGTTCTGAATCCCGACTCATAAGAGTAAAACCAAGGACGTTTTTTTCACCTACCTTGTAGGAGAAGCATCCGTTTCAAGAATCAAGATTTCGGCCAACTAAACTATGTCTTTACACAAGGAAATCGTATCACCTACATTCGACGACGAAGAAGAATGATGAATCCCTTTCAGCATTCCTATAAACTAACTACACCATACCCAAGCTCGAAACGAATAACTATTTCAGAACTCAACCCACACACAAAAGGGATCACAGATTTCCAACAATCAAGATGGGTAATTCAGAGTAACCCTCCAAAGCAAAACAGGGAAAAAGATTCTCTGAAATCAATTTCAATCCTTTGAAATCATAAAATACCATACTACCTCAAAGGGGAAATTCTGTGATAAACCAACAATCATAAAAAGATTGTCTCACATATAATTAGGAAAACAGATGAAAACACAACAAGCACCATCACACCAGAAGATAACCCTACCCCACAGTGTGACCTCTTAGAATCCGAGCTTGGTTCTGCGCCAATGCCTGCGCTTCGCGTTGTACCTGAAACACACACAGACACACCATCAGAGATCGAAGCTCGAATCACTGATTTTGACCTAATCAGGCTCAAGAGCAGCTTTAACTGACAGTCCACATATGCATACGAACCTGATGGTGTTGTCGGTGCGAAGGCGGATCCAGTGGGGAATCGGCCTGTTCTGCCTCATCTTCTTCGCCAGCTTCTTCTTTATCCTGAACGTCTTGTGCGACGGCTGTTGATTTTCACATTAATCAACACAGAGGTTCAAAAACAGTACGTTTTCTTCAATTTCATAAGAAAACTGCGATGGAGAGAGAGGATTTACCATTTTCGAGTTGTTCGATCTCGGACTGTGGTGAAACGATGAAGGCGATCGAGCCGGAACCCTAAATATAGAGCTATTGGGCTAAGGCCCATAATGTAAGAGCTACTTAGTTTAACCCAATTTAAGGCCCAATGTTTTGATTTGGGTGCGGTGACCCAATAATACCGTATATCATATTTCCGTAAACCTTAAAAACATACTTTAAATCAGCATACTTTTTTCTTGGTTAATGTGATTGGTATATTAACCGTTACAAAAATGGCTCATTACAAAAAATCTTGGGATCCCATGAAAGTGATACCAAAATAATTACTACTCCGTTCAGAATGACTCACAACGCAATGCTATGGGGTAAAGTTCTCTGATACCATAACTGAAGACTCGCATTCTCAGCCAGTTAGGGTTTGTTTCTACAGAGATATAAGGATGTCTCGTATTCCTCAATCGAGCCTAGCCCGCACCTGATGGACAGAGCTGAAGATCTCCCGATGGATTCTAGTACTCCTCTCGTGCCATAGAGTATAGACTGTGTGCTGGATTAGGAGTTTCGCAAGCAACTTTGTTCCTCCATTTAACGAATCCACCCACTGAGATCCGTGAGCTAAGTCACGTGGAGTCGATCTTGCCAGTTTCTCTGCATAAAAGCTCCAAATCTCCCTGCTGAAGTAATGCATTCATGAACCAAT